AGGTGCTTCCCCTCCCTGCAGCTGCGGAGCTGGTGTGGCCAGTGAGTGGCTGTGCCAGTTCTCTCCCTGCTCACGGGCTGCAAACTGCTGCTGCCTTGGCCCCCAAACCTGCCCCGTCGGGGCCCAGCAGCTGCATGATTCTGTCCTGACTCAGGCTTGCGAAGGCACTTGTTCTTCTTTCTCAGACTTTGTCCCAGTTCTGGTGACAGCCCCTCCTCCGGCGCCTTGGTCAGGGGCCGGGAGGCCCACGCAGCCAGACTCCCAGGGGCGCGGTTACCTCCGCGCCTGCCGACAGCGACCTCCCCACTCAATTACGCTTTCACCAGCAGCTTGTCTGCGGTGTTTACAACCTGGCCTCTGACTCCCACCGCACCCTTCGCACAGAAAACAACATAAAAGCAAGAACATTTAAGAGACCGTCGCGAGGTTTGAAACGCATGGCAGGAAATGGCTTCTCCATAGAGCTGTGCCTCTGAGTGTCTGGAGGCAGCAGAGCCGCAGGTATAAGGGACGCAGTCTCCCCAAGGTCCCCTGGGCTGGGTGCCCCGGAGTCTGGAGGAAGCGCGGAGGGGCCGGCAGATGCTTGCTTCTGGTCTGTGCACCGGAGATGAGGCAGGGAGGTCCTGGGCGTCGCTGGGGGAAGGTGTGAGGAAGGCGAGGGGCCCACCCAGCCCAGCCGGGCTCAAGGCCGCCACTCAGTAGACGTCGGGGTGGTCACTTTCGTCCCAGCCAGCAGTAGTCCCAAGGGTGACATTCCGGCCTTTCCATTAGGGAGCCTCAGCTGTGCAGGCAATGCTGCTGTTAAATAATCATCGCTGCCAACAGGGGACATTTTCTAGGTGTTTCATACACAGCATCTCACAAGATAGTGGATGAGAAAATACAGACTCAGAGAGGTAAAGCAGCTTTCTCCTGGTCACACAGCTTCAAGGGGAAGAGCTGAGACAGAATCCAGGGCCTTCTGATCCAAAAGCCCATTTCTTTAACTGCTCCAGGCTCCAGAAAAGGGGTCCCCAGCTGGGGACAGAGGGCTCCACGAATCCCCCTGAATTTGCTTGGAAAATGCGGCCCATTCCATTTTTCTGGAGAAAGCTCCGAGGCTTTTCATCAGGGGTATGATGTTTATATATTTTTTGGTGATATTCATGAAATGTCTCAAGAAACAGTTACCGCTTTTGATAATATCAAAGGTCGGCTTTGGTGTGTCTGAAAGGTTGCAGTGGCCTCAGCCAGTCCCAGCATTGTCCCTGGCAGAGGCCACTGGCGTGGGCTGTTTGTTTCATTATGAAATCCGATCCCACAGACACAAGAAGGCGGCAGAGGCTGACCCCTCAGCCTGGCAGCTGTCAGGTGGAGGTGGGGTGGGGGTACACCCGCTTGCTGTCCCGGGCTGCCTCCCGGAGCCCCCCCCAGCACAGCCCTGCCAGAACCTTTAGTGGGAGCCACGCCCCACACTCCTAAAGGGTTAAAGAAACCCTGCAATCTTGGGGCAGGAGGGTGGTGGAAGGAAGAAAAGGAGAGGTCTGTTGGCAACGGCTGGGGATTTATTTATTGTACTCGCTCTGCAGCCGGCGTGGGCTGTAAATACACAGGCTGATTCATTAGTTTCTGACCATCTGCTTCCCGGAGTGGGGACGGGAGCAGGGGGCCAGCGGGCCCTGCAGGTTAGGGCAGCCAGCCAGGCTGGAGCCCCTGTCCCCTGGCAGAACTGGCAGTGTCAGTCTTCTTGGTGACAGACAGGCTGGTGAGGCTGGAGTCTGTGAGGGATCCGATGTCCCCCAGTGGAGACCACCTGGAGGTGGGGCAGGGTGAGGGAAGGTAGGACAGGGGGACAAAGACAGACTGGGGGGGAAGATGAGGTGGGGGTGACTCGCAGCACTTAGTGGTTGACAGAAATAATATCAACAATCAATTAGATATATTAACATTAACCTATTTGTTATTATATTAGTAACTAATTAATATGATGACAATAACAACTAAAATTTAGTGAGCAGTCACTGAGGTCCAGGCCGCATATGGAGACTTCACGACCCTGTCCCAGATAAGCACCCACACAGCTCCCTGGTGGGTGATGAGGGAATTGACTTTAAAGACCGAGTCAAGCAAGGAGGGCTTCCTGGAGGAGGGAGCACAGGCTCAGAGGCAAGAGGGGACGAGGCGGCTGGGGAAACGGTGCAACCCTCAGTACTGTGCTGACGAGTTTTCCAGGCACCTGGTGATGGTGTGCTGAGAAACCAGGCTCATGGAGGAGGCCCCGGAGAGCACTTCCCGGGAAATTGCCCAAAACTCACAGTTGCGGCCCACCCCCCGCCACTCCTCCACTCCAGCCCCCTGTGGCTCACTGGGATGAGGCCTGCCTCAGTTTGCTAGGGCCTCGGGCTTAGTTAACCAACAGATTCTTTTTCTCAGGTTCTGGAGGCTTCAAGTCCAAGGTCAAGGTTTAATGGACCCTTGAAGACCAAGGCAGGGTTAGCTGCCTCTGAGGTCTGTCCTCTGGGCTCGGTAATGACCAAGGAGCGCCCTCTTGCACCTTTTCGAGTGGTCTTTCCTGTGCACCCCCCCCCCGTATCTCTCCAGGTGCCCAAATTTCTCCTTCTTGCAGGGGCACCAGTCAGGCTGGGTCAGGGCCCATGCTAAGGACCTTTTCACTTCACCCCCTTCTTTAGGGGCCCATCTCCAAATACAGTCGCACGGTGAGGTGCTGGGGTTAGGGCTTCACCACGTGAATGGAGGCGGGGGACCAGGTTAGCCCCTAACCATGCGTCAGGGGCAGTAGAAGGGGGTGGCCTGGGCCTGAGCGAAGGGGATGGTTTCTGGCTTGAGGGGACAGGGCGTGTGCTGACCGGGCGTGTGCTGACCGGGCTGGGAACCGTGCCCTCCCGCCCCCCTGATGTCTAGGCGTGAACTCTGGGGCAGCTGCTCCCTGCTCCTGGCCCTGAGTGATACAACCAGAGCCCATTCTGCCTCTGGGTTCGGGGTGCCCCCTCCCCACCACAGGGCGGCCCAGCGACTGGGGAGGGGGCCGTCCATCACCAGCAGACCTGCCTCCCTGGCCCCGGTAGGAAGCCTCGCCTCTGCAGCCCACCGAGCCACCCTGTAGGGCCTCTCACCTGCCCCCCCTATTCAGGGGGGTGGCAGCTCAGGGTCCCCAGCTTAACCCCAAGGCAGCTCAGACCTCCTGCAGCTGAATCAGGTCCCTCTGCCTGCCGTGCTGTGTGTGAGGTTGCCAGCATTTTGGGACGTCCCTGAGGTTGTCCAGGACAGGAGCAGGCTCAGAAACCAGCACGGGCCTCAGTTTCCCCCAGTGTTCAATGGGGGTTGGACTCAGTAGCAAGCCCCTTCAACCTCGAGCCCTCTGTGGTCCCTGGAATCACAGGCCAGGCTGGGGGGGGGGGTGAGCAGTGGCTGCATGTGGGTGGGGGGCCAAGGTCAGAGCTATTTTGGTCAAGGAGGCCTTTGTGGAACCGGCCTCAGTCAACCCCAGGGCCAGCCTGCCCACCACACGGCCCGGGGACATGTCCGCCCCTAGAGGGATCAAAGCCTGCATCCTAGGGCTGTGGCAGGACAGACGTGTGCTGCCCAGCCCCTCAGGAGGCGGGAGGCGGCGCCCCACTGCCCCCAGGAGCTGAATGGCTCATTGGAGAGTGAGCAGCTTTAACTCGGATCCAAGCCAGTTGTCATGGAGCAAACGGGAGACCTGAAATATTCATCAAAAAAGCCGCGAGTGGTCTGGGAGCTGTGCAGTTCTTAGTGACGGGTTTATTTTTTAATTAATAGACTGTAGCTTTTAGAGCAGTTTTCTGAGTGGAGACAGTTGAGCAGGGAGCCCAGAGAGCTTGCTGCCCCCACACAGCCTGCCCCTTACACCGCCCGCCGTTCGCCGGTGCGTGTGCTCCAGCTGGCGGACCAGCACCGACACCGAAGTGGCCTGGTGAACTCACGCCCCCAGTTCACAGTGGGGTTTGCTCTGGGGGTGCCAGTCACGCACCCACCACGAGTGTCATGCAGGGCTGTCCCCCCGCCCTGAAACGCCCCCAGGGCCACCAGCTGCCGTGTCAGTGACATTTTCAGGCCTCCATGTAGGTTACACGGTGGGCTGGACCTGGGGAAAGGGTTTGAGCTGCCATGGAGGGGAGGCACCACAAGTCCCCGGGGCCTCCCAGAGGGGGAGTAGTAAGCCGGTGGGGCTGTGTCCTGCACTGCTCGCCGGCCTCCCCCAGGGGCCTGCCGGGCCAAAGACCTAGACACAACAGGCCACACGAATGCAGCCCCTTGAGAAGAAGCCATCAGCATCCTGTCAGTGTGCCCAGGTCACGCAGGGGGCAGACTCATAGGCTGCGCCAGGGACAGGTGACTCTCAGGCTTGCTCTGACAGGCCAAGGTGCAGCGGTGTGGCTCCCAGCTCATCTCATTGGGGGGCTTTGGGCGGGGCCACCACTCCCTGAGGCCAGGTTCCCCCACCAGAGCGGTTCTGTGTGGAGGTGAGTGAGTGAGCCGGGGAACAACTGTGCCCGCGCCGCACGCCTGCTCCGCAGACACTAGCAGTGAGTGTAGATGCTCGAAGAGTCAGGAGTGCGGGAGTTTTCGAGGCAGACAGAGAGCAGGAGGGCTAACTGCAAGGGCTCACAGGCCCGGACCAGTGGGGCTCTGGGGACAGTGGGCTCAGGCGGGCTAAGTGCCAGGAGGTCAGGACCCGCGGCCCCAGGCGTCAGGGTCAATGTGCTGAAGAGTTAGACCTGCATCCTCCAGGCAGTGGGCGTCGGGGGCACCTGGGAGCAGGCGACTGACCCCGTCTCCCTTGGTCGTCCGTATGTAGGGCAGGGTCAGCTGTGTGGTCTCCTGGGCAGCCAGAATGTGGCATGCCTTCACGCGTCTGGGGGAGTGGGTACAAATCACCGGCCCGGGAGACGCTTCGCTGTGGCCCCTGGCCGGGCACGCGGCGGGCTGGGCTGTGCAGACAGCAGGCGCCCAGCCTTGCCTCCCCCCAAACCCCGCAGGAGAACCCCTACCTGTGCAGCAACGAGTGTGACGCCTCCAACCCGGACCTGGCCCACCCACCCCGGCTCATGTTCGACCGCGAGGACGAGGGGCTGGCCACCTACTGGCAGAGCGTCACCTGGAGCCGCTACCCGAGCCCGCTGGAGGCCAACATCACCCTCTCGTGGAACAAGAGCGTGGAGCTGACGGACGACGTGGTGGTGACCTTCGAGTACGGCCGGCCCACCGTCATGGTGCTGGAGAAGTCCCTGGACAACGGGCGCACGTGGCAGCCCTACCAGTTCTACGCGGAGGACTGCACGGAGGCCTTCGGCATGGCCGCCCGCCGCGCCCGCGACCTGCCGGCCTCCGGCGCGCACCGCGTGCTCTGCACCGAGGAGTACTCTCGCTGGACCGGCTCCAAGAAGGAGAAGCACCTGCGCTTCGAGGTGCGGGACCGCTTCGCCATCTTCGCCGGCCCCGACCTGCGCAACATGGGCAACCTGTACGCGCGGCTGGAGAGCGCCAAGGGCCTCAAGGACTTCTTCACCCTCACCGACCTGCGCCTGCGGCTGCTGCGCCCGGCGCTTGGGGGCACCTACGTGCAGCGGGAGAACCTCTACAAGTACTTCTACGCCATCTCCAACATCGAGGTCATCGGCAGGTAAGGCCGGCTGCGGGGTGCCGGGAGGATGCCCCGTGTGGCCCGGGTCTCTCCCTGGGGGGAGGCGGGCGGTGGAGGATGAGCGTCCGAGAGCCCGGCTGCTGCAGCCCACGGACCCGGGAGGTCTGGGGAGACTGAGGGGAGCTGGGCAGTGTGGGCAGTGCTTGGGCGAAAGCCCAGTGCTTGGGAGGGGCTCTATTGCTGTCCCCCGATTCAGTGACTGGGCGCTTGTGTCCCCAGACCACCCTTCGGCTCTGTGATTCGCTAGAATGACCCACCAAGCCTAGCACAGCTGGGACAGTCAGTCAGCTCATGACAAGGAAAAGATACAGAGGGGAACCAGAAATGGCCAGGGGCGCGGGGCCGGTGCCCGGGATGCCGTGCGAGGTCCCAGCCGTGTCCTCCCAGTGCAGACAGCGGGGGGGCTCCCCCAGCGATGGTGCGTGACAACGTGTGTGGACTGGTGCCCCCTGGGAAGCCCGCTGTGCCTGGCGTCCAGGGTTGTAACTGGGACTCGACCACACAGGCCTGGCTGACTCCCCTGCTTGACCCAGGTCGCCGGTCCCCTGGCCCAGAGGTCAAGCTGGTACCATGCGGCCCAGGGCCCCCACCGGAAATCACATGATTGGCATGAACTGTCTGGCTCGGCCCAGGGCCCAGGTAAACAAGCACCCTCATCAGGCAGATGATCCCAATGGCTCAGCTGGGAGCCAGTCAAGGGCCAAACTTTTCTTAAAAAGAGGAAGTGGAGAGCCCAGGCTTGCTGGGTTAGCCCTTCCCTCGCGGCTTTGGACAAGACTGTTTTGAGGGCTCTCTGCAGGGAGGTAAAAGCAGCCTTTGATCCCCAGACCTGTTCAGATTCTCGGGCCCTGCGCCAGACCTGCGGCAGGCGTGAACCCAGGGGTGGGCCCGGCAGTCTGTGTGCTCACGAGCCCCCAGTGGTCCTGGTGCCCACCCAAGTCTCAGAAGCCCTGCTGTGATGGTCGGGGGCAGGGACCCCGGGGCCAGACAGCCTGGGCCGGATCCCGGCTCTGCTCTCCCCGGGCTGGGAGGACAAGGACCGCTCTGTGCCTCAGTTTCCCCACCTGTAGAATGGGGATAATGATCCTGCTTCTCTCCTTGGATTGTGCTGAGAGTTAAAACAGTTAAAGTTGACCCGAACAATTATGTGCCGGGCACGTAACATGTACTGATTTTTTAAAATTCTACCTGTTGGATAAACTAAAGAGAGGTCAAAGCAACGGCGTCGGAGAGCTGGGGCAGGCGGAGGAAGGCTCGGGTTGAGACTCAAGGCCACCGGGGCGACGCGGGCAGGAGCGCAGCGTGGGCAGAGCCACTCGGGAGCCCAGCAGGGGCGCCCACAGCAGGCTCTGATGACCTCTGGGTGTGAGGTCTGAGGGTGGACAGGCCACTTGCTGCGTGGCGCACCTCGATCATCCCGTTTCTGTAAAACGCATGGTGCACCTGTGTGCATCTGTTGTGCATCTTGAATAGACACGGCGAAGCAGTCTGTGGACCCGGGCCCAGGAAGGCCTCGCAGAGACGGGGAAAGCTGGACGCGTGTGCGCTGCACGATCTCTGTGCTCGCTTCGCCCCTGTGGACCGCGGTTGGGCGGGGCTGCGTGGCGCCTTTGGTTGCAGCCATGTTTGCGTTTTATTTCACTCAGACTCTGCGTGTGGGCTCCAGGTGGGCCGAGGCAAAGGTAAGCAGTTCGTGTAGCAGGGTCAGGTTCAAGGCCAGCCGGTGAGCGCGAGACAGGTGCACATGCAGGGGCCTGTGGTTCTGACACCTGGACTTCTAATCCCCCCTACTCAGGGCAGGGTATTTTAAATCAAGAATGTTCTGGAAGTCTGATATGGGGCCAGCGCTGTGGACACCGGGGGTCAAGTTTCGGCTCCTGTGCCAGTTTCTCGCGTGTGTGTCCTCCAGGGTTTGGGTGTCTGGTCATCTCAGCAACTTCTGCCTGCCCTCGGGCGCAGTGGTGGTGCAGGTCGAAGACCCTCCCTCTGCCCAGCCATCCAGCCAGGCTTAGCGGACCCCACGCCTGTGGGAGCTTCAGCCCCTTGTCTGACTTGCTTTGGGGCAAGAGTCTGATCAAGGGGCACCTGCCACTTCATTAGGTGGCGCAGGCAAGGTCCTGAGGTCGAGCAGGCTGCAGGGTCCGGGATGGATGGTGACAGTCTGGGCTGGTAGTGCCCTCAAACCTCCCATAGTGAAGGTGGTCTCATGGGGGGGACTTGCCACCATGGGACAGAGCGCACCGAGGAAGGGCTGGAGGGGCAAGAAGGAGTCTCGGTTCTTCGGTGTCATCCAAATTAAAAGCACCCGCTGGTGCCAGGGTACCTGGGGGCTGTGCACCGGGTTCCAGCCCCCTGTACTGTCTTGTGCCTCAGTTTCCCACCTGTAACACGAGGATCAGAGCCCCCTGGAGCCTGTGTCTCCCTGGCAAGGTGGCAGGGCGGTCCCTGCCCAGCAGCTCTCAGGTCCCCCTGGCTCCCAGCCTCTGCGGGTGGCGGCAGCAGCCGTGGTGGTGGCAGAAGTATGGCAATTAATTCACAGATAAGAGTAAGTACTGTACAGGCGGCTGGTTGGCAGGCCAGCCGCAGCTTGGCTATCGATTAATCAGGTCTGGTTAGAAGGTTGGGGAAGGGCTGTGACTGCCTCTGTTTTCCTTTCAAATTTCTCATGGGAGAGCCCAGCTGAGCCCGGGAGCCTGGCAGGCCCAGAGGGACAGGACAGGTTGTCAGAAGTGGGCATGGGGCCCATCCTGAGTGGGTACTGGGGACCCCCAGGGTTCTTGGGTTCTGGGCTCCTTCAGAATTTTATGACCCAGAGAGACAGGTGCCTCCCAGGTGGCCTGGTCACAGCGGCAGCTGGTATTCATTGAGCATTTGCTATAGGGCCACTTCCTATTGAGCAGATTAAATCAATAGTCAATTGCTTCCCCCTCACCCCATGGCTGTTGGTTGGATCCCTGAGCCCTCAAGTAGAGGATACAGCATTGAGCAAGCTGGACCTGATCTCCACCCTGTGCAGCTTTCCCCATCGGGCAGTACACCCCTCCCACCCATGTTTTCAGATGAGCAGGCGAGGTCAGGGGATGTCAGGTGAGCACACAGCTGAACTCAACACCAGGCAGCCAAGACCCCACCCAGCATGTCCGAGCTCCAGGTCATCTCTGTGTGGGACCATGTCACCCGCCTCCCTCCTGAGGGCCAAGGTCTTTGATACTGTGGCTATTCCCAGCTCTGTCAGTTATTTCCAACTTCAAGGGGGACCCAGCTGGCAGGGCAGGTAGGAGACACAGGGCAGAAGCCCTGGGCCCGTGGGGCAGGGGCCAGAGCAGCGGGAGACGCCTGGAGGATGAAGAAGGAGAACTAGTCATGGGTGAGAAGAGGGGCCGCGGAGCTGTGACCCCACAGCGCGGGGCGGTGGACAGCCTCCAGCCCCTTGAGGCCACTGCCCCCACGGGCTTCCACCGGACTGGGCCGCATCGGCACGGAGGAGCTCCAGTAGGACCTCGCCAGCTTGTGGTGAAGTGATGTATTATAAAAGCATGTCCAGCATCATGTTCCTCTGGTGAGGTGTCTGGAGAGGTGAGGGACAGTGGCATGGGGTCACGGCTGCCTGGGAAGGAGGGCATGATCACACCGGCCCCCAGACACTGCCGCTGAAAAGGAAGCGGGAAGCATGCTTTTTTGGATCAGTGGGGGTTGCTCGCCCAAAAGGCCAGAGGGGCCTGGAAGACAACATATGTGGGTACCATGGACCAGGAGAGGCAATAGGGAAGGGTGGGGTCTGCGAAGTGGGCCTGTGAGCAGGCCCCTCCCAGGACAACAGACCAGATTGCCAGATCTTTTGGTGTTGCAAGAGAAGGCACACTGCAGATATAGACGTAAAACATGCCACAAATTTTTTTGAAAACCTCGTGCAGGTCAAATGAAACACACCTGGGGTTCACGAGCTGCCAGAGGCCCCTCTGCTCTGACGTTCCCATGTCTTCTTGTGGCAGAGATCACACAGCCCCCAGACTACGAGAAGCCAGCAGGCCGCCAGCAGGGCAGGCACTCTGGGCCCTGGGGCGTGCGCAAAGCAGCCTTGCCAAGCCTGCCAACTCCAGGCCTGAGGGGGTTGGTCCTCCTAACCACGCCCCAGGCCCTGCCCAGGGGCAAATTCTTCTGCTCAGAAAATTCTCGGAGGTTCCAGGGGAGGAGTCCAGCTGGGCCTTGGCCAGCCAGGGACAGGAAAGAAAGAGCAAGCTCCCCATTCCTGGAGGTACGCAAGCCAAGCAGGGTGGCATTTGCGGGCAAGGAGGGCATGTGGGCCTGTGCCTCTGCTCTGTGCAGCAGGTGCAGACGTCGATGAAGTGAACGGGAAGTACAGGCGCCGTTTTAAAATGTGGAGGGTGGTGGGCACCAGGCATTGCGTCCTCACCCCTTTCTACCCGGGAGGAGGCTGAAGTCTTTGGAGAGATGAGACCCACCAGGCCTCTAGGTCCAGACTGGCTGAGCCTGTGGGCTCCCCCAGATTCTGCTGGGGTCCCTGGGCCGCTGACACGCCTGGTTTTCTCCTCCCTCAGGCCCTCCCCCTTTCTTGCCATCTTGTCTTCTTCCCTAAATGTCCTGTTCCTATCGATCACCGGTAACTGGAGATGGACTGAACTCAGGACAAGAATAGAAACCGCAGGAGGAAAGAGGGCCTGGCTCTGTAGTGGGGGGCGGGGCCGGAGAGAGGCCACGCCCCCCCCACTCGCAGTGCGTGTGCGCAGGCCCTCTTCCCAGTCTCCCCTCCGCCGGGCTGCAGGGGAAACAGGCCAGAGGGGAGGTGTGGGTGCTCAGCCTCCTCCGTGGTCCCCTTGTGGGTGCCGGGGGCGGGGTGGGGGGACGGGGCAGGCCTTCCTCCTTCAGTACGATCAACTCTCATCCGCCGAGCGATCTCACGGCCAAAGGGCATCGTGAGCCTCGTTTGCACGTTTCCTTACTGGGTCTGCCCCGTGACA